CACCGCTATCACCACAGCCAAATCCTGGAACTCCTGATTAACTCAGGATATTTAGGGGCGAACCCACAAAACAACTTCAAAGTCATCTACAGAATACGTGAGAATCTCTCTAAAAGAGTACAAATCAAACTTCTTAAAACCGCAGGAGCAATGGCAATTCACATGTTAAAACCTGAACTCTGAATACAAAAGAACAAGTTTGTTCAGTCATTAAATCTACAATGGACCTGATCTGTCCTAATACCAAACACGTAAATTTTTGTTTCGTTTTATTTCTTGCTTGCTTGTTTCTTAATTGTATAATATTTTCTTCTCCCACCCTACACCTTATTAAATCCCTACCCATCATTACCACTGTTGTCAACTTGACTTTCATTCACTTTTAATTTTAGCTGAGCCCTACTCAACCCCGTCAATTAGATAACGTCACTCAACTTGCTTATTTAATCTTACTTTACTTTCTAACCGATCAACGAAATTTGTTATTTGAAACTTACAATTCTAATAATTTTATTTAAGTTTCTACCTGATTAACACTTTATACATAACGTAATTTGGTAACTAAAATTTACAATTCTAATGACAAATCTTTAAAATATTCATTTTGTTGCTAAGACAATTAACTATACATATGCGTTTGTACAGCTTGTGAATGATATCGCCGAAAAGTGTAACTCTTCGTTGAACGTCTTCTCTTTTTTTATTGGAGTGGTTATGTATGACAGTGTATGATTTCAAAAGAGGTTTTGAGCACCTTAACTTTACCGTCTTTTTGATGAGAAAATGTAACACAGAGCTTTTAAATGGTATAGAAAGCTATTGACTTGAAGATATCACCTATTGAGATGCTGGAATATCCAGATGACAACTCCTAAGAGGGACGAAACATGTACTCTACACCTCACTAATAAACACTACCTATCAAGATGTGTAAATATATATAGGATTGTACAGCTGGATAATAAATTTGGTGAAAAGAGTCTCTTTGCTGAATATTGTGTTCTATCAAGAAACATCATAAAATTATGATATTGTAAAAAATATTCCCAGGTGACAGAATTCCTGAAAGACTGAAGATTGAACAAGATCAAACGTGTGGACTTATCAAATATTTTTATAAGATGGTTCTGACATTTGCTGATGTTAATAAATTTTTTCTATTCCTTTACGTTCCTCCAGTGGAACATATGGCTTCAAGCTAGAGGTTTGAAGTTTCGGTAGCAGTGGTATTTATTTTTTACAGGATGGGGTTGCTAGTCTCATGCCCAAGAATCCCTCTTCACTAGTAATATTAGTGCCTTAGCGGGGTAAAGGAGGAGTGCGTCGGCCGGTGATCGAACGCCGGACCAAGTGAGGCTTGGATCGCTGTGCCACCGACGTGGTGTTAATAAATGTTAGTTCAGAATACTAAGTTTAGAAGTTCCCCGTGAAATCATAAGGATTCACAAATACTAACAAATTTATAATAAAAGGGACACTTTGTTTATCTACAGCAAAAACTAGATCATATCTTATTTTCTGAGTAATAAAAAGTTATATTGGCGGAAGTTAAGTGATAGGCTCGACGCCTTCATGAATCGATCAACTAATGAGAACCAACAAATCTATTTAATCTCTATGTACTTTGGTGATATAAATTATTGCAGTTACTTAATTCATTGAAAAAATTGAGCTAATCCCGTAATTGTGATTCTCTGTAGACCATTTTAAACGGGGTATAGGCTGAATGAAACAGTCCTAGTTTGTGACTCTTCATCAGCACGCACCTCTGGCAGTAACTCATTGAAGAAGACATTGCGAAGTGGTCGCGCTAAGTCATGAATTGGCAGAAGTTAGAATTCATGGGCTGGCCATCGGATCGTGTCCCAGTAGCTTAATGGTCTACTAGCTCGCTCGCTTTGTAACCAGAAGATGTTTGGTTCAAACCCTTGCGTTGGGGTGCGTGCGTACTGCTTAAGAGCCCTTCAACCAATGAAACAGTTATGCATCGAATAAGTATGCAAGAGAATGTCAGATGACTAATTGTATCCTATGACCTATTACACAATAAATTTCTCAAAGCCTTTAAACAAATATCACAATTTAAATCAAAACTAATAACCTACCTGATCTTTGTATATTATTGAAAATGAACAAAAGAACTTAGTATAACTGTCAAGATATTTCGCCATATCTGTTGAAATGACAACCTTTTGCCATAGGTAGAAAGTATCAATACACAGGGTGCAAGCTAAACATTTTGTATACCTTGTAAGTTAACCGGTAAAATAGTCTCACTTGTATTTCTATCAAACTGATATTTATCAACGCCAGAAAAGTCTTCCGAATTTACATTTTCCTGAAAGATAAAGTTAAAATTATTATAACAGATTCAATATGAACGAAGGCGAGAAATACATTCATCAACCTGAAACCAATCTGGAAATCTTCGTCACTCAGCCTGCATCAACAACAAAATTTGGATTTTCAATACAAACGTCAAGTCAGTCAGTTCTTCTATACGGATCAGAAACTTGGCCAGTGTGTCACAAAGAATATTTCCAACAGCCTGTTGCAGACCTTTATCAACAACTGTCTTCGTTCTATACTCAAGATCCGATGACCGGAAAGAACCACCAACAAGAAACTATGGGAAGAAACAAAACAAGAACCAATCGCCCAACAAATATGCAGGAGAAAGTGGAGATGGATTGGACACTCGCTGAGGAGGCCGCTGGGTGACATCGCGCGTCAGGCCAACGCTCGAGTGGAACCCGAAAGGGAAGCGGCGAGTGTGACGTCCAAGCGTGACATGAAGGAGATCGTGTGAAGAGGAGTTGAAACAGTATGGATTAACATGGATGCAGGTGAAAAGTACAGCAGAAGACAGAAGCAAGCGGAGACGTGTAGTTGAATCCCTATGTTGCACTAGGAACCCAAGGGAACAATAATAATAATAAATATGAACTTCAGTCATTCTTTTTCTTTAATTTTCGCAGACGAAAAAGGATTATGGTTAATTGAACTGAACTATCTAAAGCAAGAGCAACCGCCGGAGAGTTAAAATATCCTGCATCGCGTTATTTTGTTACAAAGTGAGTGTACATCCTTCAAGGAAATGATCAAGAACAAATAAGAGAACAAGGTATTGTAACTAGAAACTTTTATCAATGGAACAACTATTCAGTCATCAGATGGTTTTGTTAAGTGAACCTTTAGTCATTTGAAATAATTGAGGTTTATAGCTCAGTGTGGCAATGGGAGACATTTTGTGTTATGCGAGCACTGAGATTTGATTGTAGACGTTTTGTCACTGGGTTAGGTAACACCAGCAGCATTAACTTCATTAGGTATTACCTAATGAAATTAATGCTCTCTACCATAGGCTCAAAATTTATCAACTGGTGATTTCAATCTGACCGATATTTAGTTTGCAAGTAACGGCTGGCTTCACAGCATATTCGTAAGTGGCTTCAGAAGCAAACAAAATCCCTAGAACCCATTAATGGTGAGAACAGGCGACGACCTAGCTCCTATACTGAAAAATAAATAAATACAGAAAATAAAATTGATGTTTACACGTCTTGTAAACCTATCTTTTAAACATGTTAGAGGCGTATCCTAAAGTTTATGGAAGCTCTAGCTGGTAATTAAAAAGTTTAAACCACCTTTATGCGTTCAAAGCAATAATTCGTCGCCACGCTAAAACACTTTCCTTGGTAAACTTTGTTTTGATACCAACTAGGGTGATAGATGTACTATTACCTCCCTTGTTTGGTTTAGTGATCTTCATTGTTACTTTAACCTCTGTGTGTGATCAGATTGTTCGAAATATGTTGCGCAAATACAACATCACACAATCCAGACAAACTATATCAGAGAATCAAATTGTTCTCATACTGAGTTCTAAGAAAAAGGCGTGAACAGGTGAGAAAATTCTCTTCTCAATGATTCATTTTCATAAGCTGTACTATCGTAGTTATATTTAACCAAGAATTAATAAGACCAAACAGATATTGGCAAAATTTGTCCTCGAAAACGTATTGCCTAATGTTAGGTGTGAGAAGGGATGACTAATTGTAAGTTAGAAAAGAGACAGAAGTTGATATGACGTAATAAGTTTGAGATAATGAATAATCAATAAGCTCGTGTAAAATGGACAGGAACTAGTGGAAAGGCTATAAAGTGTTTTTGTATAAAATATGTATGAAAAGCAATGTTATTAATGAACAGTAATAGAGTGGTAATAAAATGTAGATGATGGGAATAATAATGATAACAAAAGTATTAATAAAATAAAATAATAATAATAATAGTGAACTTACATAATAAAGGAAAGAAGCAAAATTGTGGTAAGAAATTTACTCTGGCCATGGTGGGGCAAGAGAATGTATGTATCGCTTTTGGATGCAGAGGTTTGGTTTCAGATCTCGAATAGCTAATGCTTCAGCTATGTACAGATGGCGTATCCGAAGTCCCTTTGTACGATATTGAGGGACTCTGTGTAGCACTGTGAAGCATGCATGCAGATGGACGTGCTCGATGTCCTGAGATGACAAGGTGTTCCGGGATAGAGCTGCTGCTATTCTTCTTTTCTCCTCTGGCCAGCTAGCCAGTCTGGACAGTGTTCCAGAATACGTTTGTGGACTTGACGTTACTTTTTCATACAGATTTTATATAAAAACACTTTATCGCCTTTCCACTAGTTCCTATCCATTCTACACAACTATATTGATTGGTCATCACCTCACACTTATTACATAATGCCAACTTCTGCCTATTTTCTTATTTCTGTTACAATTAGTCATCCCGTCTAGGTTACACCTTGCATTACCTAATACATTTTCCGAGGACAAAGTTCACCAGTATCTGATTGGTTGTCTTATGAATTCTTTACTAAATATAATTACGATTGTACAGCTCATGAAAATGAATCGTCGAAAAGAAAATTTTCTTCTCTGTTTACGCCTTTTTCTTGTTATTACTGTGTTATTATTCTTACAGTTATTACAATGTCTTACCTGAATGACATGAGGTTGGGTGACTGAAACTATAAAAAGCAAATAAGATATACTTTTCGTAAATATTTCCTACCGAACACTGCGAACAAAGTAACAAATACACTGGCCAGATAAATCATACTGATATGAAGTTATTCTTTCTTTTCTGTATTCATCGGAAATACACAGACATTTATATGTAACGAAATGCCATTAAACAATAGTAATGTTTTTTGTTTTAAAAAACATGCTATGTGGTTAAAGTCCATCATAAATAATGAGAATTTTTGTTTTTACACAAGTGGTTATGATTCATCCTACTTCATAAGATAATGAAATAGTTAATTGTATCAACATAAATAAAAATGTTACAAAAATGTATGAAAGAGTGATGAATATGTGAAAAATCATCATTTTGTTTCCTAAACCAAAGTTTATATGAGTTGATGCAAGAGAGAGATTTCATCCACGTGAAAAATCACACCATTATTACTAATATATACAGTTGAGTTAGACAAAGTTAGTTAGTTAGTTAGTTAGTTAGTTCATGGTTAGTTAATTAGTTAGTTAGTCAGTTAGTTAGTTAGTCAGTTAGTAAGTTAGTTAGCAAGTTAGTTAGTTAATTAGTTGGTTAGTTAATTAGTTAGTTAGTCAGTTAGTTAGTTAGTGAGTTAGTAAGTTAGTTAATTAGTTAGTTAGTCAGTTAGTTAGTTAGTGAGTTAGTTAGTTAGTTAGCAAGTTAGTTAGTTAGTTGGTTAGTTAGTTAGTTGGTTAGTTAATTAGTTAGTTAGTGAGTTAGTTAGTTAGTTAGTTGGTTAGTTAGTTAGTTAGTTAGTTAGTGAGTTAGTTAGTTAGTTAGCAAGTTAGTTAGTTAGTTGGTTAGTTAGTTAGTTGGTTAGTTAATTAGTTAGTTAGTGAGTTAGTTAGTTAGTTAGTTGGTTAGTTAGTTAGTTAGTTCATGGTTAGTTAATTAGTTAGTTAGTCAGTTAGTTAGTTAGTGAGTTAGTAAGTTAGTTAATTAGTTAGTTAGTCAGTTAGTTAGTTAGTGAGTTAGTAAGTTAGTTAGTTAGTTAGTTAGTTAGTAAGTTAGTTAGTTAGTTGGTTAGTTAATTAGTTAGTTAGTCAGTTAGTTAGTTAGTCAGTTAGTAAGTTAGTTAGCAAGTTAGTTAGTTAATTAGTTGGTTAGTTAATTAGTTGGTTAGTCAGTTAGTTAGTAAGTGAGTTAGTAAGTTAGTTAGTTAGTTAGTTAGTTAGTAAGTTAGTTAGTTAGTTGGTTAGTTAATTAGTTAGTTAGTGAGTTAGTTAGTTAGTAAGTTAGTTAGTGAGTTAGTTAGTTAGTGACCTGGGTTTCATTTGGGAAGCGTGATTAGAATTCATGCACTGGCTGTTTGATCGGGTCCCAGTAGCTTAATGGTCTACGAGCTCGCTTGCCTTGTAACCAGAAGGTTTTGGGTTGGAAACCTGTCGGTGGGCGCATACTGGTGAAGAATTTCAAAGGAAGACGAAACAGCTATCTGGTATTACTCCCTGGCAGGTTGTCCAATGGTTCTCTAATTGATGTCAGCTCATGATGAAATCCTCCAACTAATCAAACTAATTCCCTACAAAAACCATTACTTGAAAATTAGGTCATAGTTGTTGTGGTATAGTACAGAACGCATAGAATAAGAAAAAGTGGTAAATTGATCTCTCCATATAATCCTTAATTATAATGCAAATAATTCTCGTTTCCTTACGTTTAAATTCACACATTTGGGCGTATTTAGCTAGAATAAGTGATTTGTTAACAGATAACATTGCAGTCAATTAGTGGATGGTGACTAGCACTGGAATCCAGAATGCGCATTTCGTCCTATTTGTGACCCATCATCCGGATTTACCTGCATACCCCAGTCAGTGGGCGATAGTGTTCCCATAGAAGCTCCAACTCACTGCCTATAGTTTCAAAAACCAAACCGTTATCCAGTAGACCAATTGGACCATGAGATCCATACCATAGTAAACAGGCTGTTAACAGTAATATATGTCCAAACCAAGTTCAAATTTCACAGTTTGAAGATATTTGAATGTTTGGTATATGTGATATGCATTATTATGAAGGTTTCGCATTTCTCAACGAATGAAAAATTAAACGATATTTTCGTTTTTATTCATGCGGTGTACAACTTCCTGTTCAGTAAAGAAATGTATAGACAATCAGATAGTGTTGCACCGGGATCACCACTAGGCCTAATCCTAGCAGATTTTTTCCTGGCGAAACTAGAGAATGGTCCACTTAAAGATGTAATATATAATCTCGATTTCTATTACCGATATGTGGATGATACATTTATAGTCAGTTGTTAAGAAAGAAAGTGAGGTTGGGGACATATTGTATAAATTCAATGGAGCACATCCTGGCATAAGCTTCACTAAGGAAGAAGAGGAAAATGACTCTATCCCCTTTTTGGACGTCCTAATTACTAAGCCGAAGGACGGAACAATATGCAGACGTTTGTATAGAAAACCTTCTTCCACTGGACAATATACTCACTTCCTGTGCTTCGTACCTCTACAATACAAACGTAATCTGGTTAGATGTCTGGTTCACTGAGCTACAGTTATCTGTTCAAATGAGACACTAGCAGGAGAACACGGTAATATTCGCGATCTACTAGGCAGAAAAGGATATCTGACTAAACTGTTGAACAAACACATGAACTCAGGAAGTAAAAAGTCGAAGTTGCTGACTGTCCCCAAAAAGTCAGTCTTCTTAAGGTTACATTTCACGGATGATGTCAATAGCGAAACCTTATCACAACGTCTGAGAAGGGCCTTCAAAAGGACTTTCTATGCGGCTAAGCTATGCTGTGTATTCACTAGCCAACCAATACTTAGTTCAAGAAACAAAGACAGACTTCCCAGTTTCGCCTCTTTCATATGTATTTGTCAGTTCAACTACTCGTGTAGAGCTAATGATATAGGGCGTAAGATCAGGTAAGTTCATCGTTGAAGTTCTGAACACCTCTCATCTTGGTTTGTTAAAAGTCCGAATAAAGTCGCTATGCGCAACTCAATACTATCTCATCTGGTTGATCAGCTGGACATCAAATCGACTCTAATAAAACTTTAAAAGCTATTTATCGTATATCACCGAACCTCTTGCCGCGTGGTCTACGAGTACGACTCTCACATACATCAGAGGTAACCGGAATTTATCTGAACAAGTCAAATCTGCGTTTGCATTCAGAAGAAATTTGTACACCCCATTCTTTTGCCACGGCCAACTACATCATAGGTATAAGGTTTTTAAAAACGAATTTTTCCCCTCCCATTGGAACTGTCTTTTGACTTTGTTTATTTTTACAGTTCTAGCTAATTCTATTAACTTGTCTGTTTGTACTTCAAATAATTCCTCTGAGTCATCCTATTCTTTTTAGTCATCATCGCTATTTTACAAATTTCTTGATTATGTAATAACTTGATGTTAATGACTAAGAATAAACTTATCTGGAATTCCGTAATTAATCATTTCTCACCCTCTCTCTCCTTCAAAACTTGTATATATTGTTACTAGCATATATTAGTTAATTGGAAACATTTATTTCCCGATACGAATTTAAAACAAGCAATGAAGGTTAATAAAGCAGGATTTAATGAATTCATCAAATTTCGGTAGAACTCGTCAGCTGAATACCTTACATACACGGATATATTTGTACTTTTGAAATTACATTGGGAGATATAGGACTGATAAGTAAATAAATAAACTACATTGAATTAGTCATGCAGAAAGACAGGTGTGAGTGTTTTTCCAGGTCATGTTCAATTAGATAAGGGGAGAGAGAGTATGGGAGATCAAAATTAAGATAAATTGCACTACGCTTCAATTACATCACTTAGATAAACAATTAGACATTAGAGAATTTAACAAGAATTGCAACCAGAGGGATGTCAATAGTTATAGTTATAATAATAATAGTGTTGAAGTGAGTTAAGATAATGCTACTGATAAAGGATAGTTTAAATGAATCAAGAATAATAATAATGAGAATAATAATAAAAATAATAATAGTAAGAGGTGGAATTATAAGTAAAACGTATTACCATGGAAGATTCAGAGTTAATACCATCTCCTTTTGTACACGGAGACCTGGTTTTTAAACTCGAATTGCGCAAGCCTCTGCAACTGCAAGCCTCTTCTTGTTTCTTTGTCTGCTGACAATGGTGAATGACTTGACCGCGTCGATATCATGCCCGTAATCCACAAGATGTTTTGTTATTGAGGATTTTGGCACTTTGAACTCAGCTGTTTTCAACCATTTTGGCAAGTGCTCCATCATGCGAGTAGACAATCTCCTTTCCGTACGACCTATGTATTTGCTTCCACAAACACACTCAAATTGATATACGCAGTTTGAAGTGTCGAGGATTGGCGACTGGTCTTTCCCAGATTGTTGAATCACTCGCTTAGTGGTGTTAAGGAAAACAAGTTTTGCAGCATAATAGGTTCTCTTGATGGCTTTGTCGAGTCTTCGTTTGTCTACTTCCTGTACATCATCTCCTTTAAACGGCAAACTGATATAGACAGGTTTCTTCGGAACTGTTTGGATTGTTTTGTAGGGGGTGTTTTCTTTAGAGTATTTATTAATGAACTTCTCAGGATATCCATTTTTAGATAAGATATCCTTCAGGGATTTTATTTCATACTCAACAGTACTGTCAGAACAAACTTTTCGTGCTCTATTGAACAGTGTTCTGACTAAGTTCTTCTTATACTGGATTCGAACAAAACTCTTGAAATGCATGTACTATCCTGTCCATGAGGACTTTCTAAATATAGATCTTTCGATTGTGCCATCATTCATAAATCCATTAATTTAAGCATACAATAGCCAGCCAGTAAAGGCAAATTAGAATCATATCAGAAAGTGTATTATGGAACAAGTATAAGTAGGATGGGATGGAACAATAGTCAGATTGTTTTTTAATATGCATGGTCAATGAGAACATGGGACAAAATGAGATGAAGTAATTTAATTTAATAGTGTATATATATATATATATATATAGTCAACAGAAAAATACGGGTTTCGAGAGTGTGTGTAATCAGGGTGTGTGAAGCAATATGAAAATAAAACAACGAGTGGGGTGGACTAGACATAAGTTCAAGGTTGAAAATAACGACAATAAGAATGATT